CGACATAATTCCTAGAAAACAACCTCAAACAGTGACAGCAATACCCAAAGACCATAAAACAAAAATGATCCAAAAACAAAGAAGAGACTTCAAGAACCCTTGAAGCCCTTGATCATCAAAACCAAGATCCAATCGGAGTAGAAAAGTTGACAGCACGTTGACAGATCCGAGCGAAGAAGGATCAACATAATCAACTCGACACGCACCACTGGCAAAGGAACCAAGACACAGCTACATCTCCCTGGAGAACATGACAAGGTCACCAGCACACAGGTACCTCTTGATGGTATCCTTTGAGAGTTCCCGTGACCAAAGAAACTCCTGGATGATCTCCCCCTGCATGCCTCAGGACATGATCAGACTTATGATTGTATTGAAGAGCAGTTTTTTCCCTAATTGAAATGCAAGAAGAAAAAAATCAGCCATAGTTGCCCTTCAGGAGCATTCTACCGCTATGCACCATTCTGGCCACCACTTACCATGAGATCTCTGAATTTTTGTTCCCGCTTTAATATTGGACAATAGCAGTTTAGGTGGCTGCTGCTACTGATGGCTGCTATTTAAAAACACCTGCTTCAGACCACAAATCTAAAACTTTCTTCCTTTCCGATGCTGCATCTGAAACTTCCTTGTTGCCTCCAACCTGTTGTAGAACATAGGAGTTTGGCTTGCCAAAGCATTTAAAGAACCTTGGTTACTATAATTGAGAATTTCCATATTCCTTATTTGATCCCTCTGTAGTCTTATAGTTGTTTATTCCGTTTTAAGTTTAGGGTTTGTCCCGTGCTGAATCTTGCTTGTTGCCTCCAAACTGTTGTAGAACAGAGGGGTTTAGTTTTTTCCGCATCATTTGAAATACACTGGTATAATTGAGAATTTCCATATTCCGTTATTGATCCCTCTGTAGTCTTATAGATGTGAATTCTGTTTTGTAGGCTGAGGAGAGGCACTGTGAGATCCTTGGCCGCCTTCTTTATACTGCAAAGCTTGTTGCGAAACAGGAAGGGTTAGAAGGTGGCTTCAGGGTTGTGATTAATGATGGCCCGCAAGGATGTACAAATTCTTCCTTCCATATATTTTTTAATTGAGGAATAGTAATGTTCATTTTTGTTGGGAGAGAAACTTGAGGATGTTTTAGAATTTTATTGATGTGGGTATGTTCGGTTGCAGGTCAATCCGTGTATCACATTCATGTCCACCTCCTTGGAGGGCGCCAAATGAACTGGCCTCCAGGGTAAGATGAAGTTGTAGTTGATAGGGTGGACACCATATTTAATGGAAGTGGGCATTGCGTGTTGTGTGGCCTGTTGATAATGTTAATAAGTGAAAGCAGATTGTTAACAAATAGCTTTCATGTCTAATGATGAGAATGGTATCATTGTCCTCAGGGCTACCAGCTCTTCAACAGTGGAAAACTAATTGACCTTGTTGAAGTAATAATACTTGGAATGATAATGTGGTCTGCTTAGTTGTTCCCTGCCTTCTTCCTATTTAGTTTTCATATTAAATGGTTTAGAATTCATAAATTGTTCTTTGAGCAATTGTCTTGACCAAGCTCTTTCAATGTTTGAATATATATCAAAACATGGTAGTAGATTGGTAGGGTAGCAGCTGCATTTTGTTGACATAAATTGTTCAAACATCAAAATTTAATCACTCATGTTTCCTTGTTAGGTCCTTAAAGCCTTCTCCGGCAATGTTTTATTTTTATTACATTGCTGAGATTTCAGTTCAATCAAGGATGTGGTTTGTTTGGTTCTCAAATTGTTTCAATCTTTCGACTGAACTGGTTTGTTAAGTTTTTAAATTGGATTTGACTTGATTGAACTGTAAGTTTCTTTTATTGTTCTTTATCTTCTCATTTTTTTTGATTACTTCTCTAACTATTAGGGGATCAAGCAACATCAATGTAACAATTAGTGATTATTAAATCCTTCTATAATTTTCTATAACTTTCACTACAATTAATTTCTGAGTAAATTGTATGTGCTTTTTCGAAAGTTGGGGTGTATACTTCTAACGTTATCCATCGGTGCCATTTAAGTGTTTGTGTCAATGATGTGTGTGAAATTTTGATTATTTATTTAAGGCCAAAATATAAAATCTTCTTTCAATATATTTTTAAGGTACAATTTGGTCCTTTCCATCTCAAAATGCATTGTTTGGGCCCTTGACTATTCACTTCGTCTGGTTCTTTGATGATTGATTGTCATTAGACTAGACTTAATCTCAAGTACAAAATTAAAAAAAATATATAAAGAATATCATAATCTAGTTTAATTAAATAATAATGAAAATATTTCAACATTTATCAACTTAAAAAATAAAAAAAATACATAATGATGGAAAAAAAGAAAAATTAAAATAAAAAAACTATTTAAGATTATTTTATTAACAATTCAAAGTAGCTCATAACTTTGAAGTGAAAAAATAAAATTCTCAAAAAATTAACTAATAATATTCTAATTAAACTAGGCTGTTATGGAATATGGACACATCACATTAGACCAATTTAAATTAGAGTAAATTTGATAAATGATAAATGTATTATTCATATTCTAGATATAAATAGTATCTAGGTAATAATATGAGATTTATCAAAAAGATAATGTAATTTAGAAATATATCTTAGTAGGAGATTGTGATAGCCATCAATATATAAGGCGCTTCAACTATAAATAAGGGGTCACCCCACCCTTATTTGTATCACAATTATTTTTCATTCCAAGTATTGCTTTATCTCAATATCTTTCTTTTTTCTTTTTTGTTTCTATTATTTCTTTTACAACACGTTATCAGCATGATCACCAAAAGGAGGTAATTTTCTTGGCCTTTCATCAACTAATTAGATTTTGATTTTATATATCATCCAATCGGCTTGAAGTCGACAATGGAACTAGAGTATCCCTCTAGCCCCTGAAGCGGTGATGGGCCTCCGAAAACCCCTGTAGTTGTCATAATTAATTTATGGATCCATTTTTTCACGAGTAGAATTGTGGCAAGTATTGAAAAGCCCAAGTTCCACATCCTGGAAGTAAGTGGAAGAAATTATCTGTCTTGGTGCCTTAATGTGGATATGCATCTCCAAAGGTAAGGTCTTGCTAATGCAATTATTATAGGCGGGAAAGCAAATGGCAAAGATAAGGCAAATGCACTTATCTCTATTCTCCATCATTTGCATGAGTTTGAAGACTCAATATTTA